TAGGTGACCCTGCTTCGGCAGGAGGGTTGGACTAGATGACCCACAGAGGTCCCTTCCAACCCCTACTATTCTGTGGTTCTGTGAACGCTGAGATTTCCTCTGGAATGTGGGTGGTGACAGGTAGCACAGAATGAACATATTCAGCCATCTCCAACACAGACAATCGAGATTGATCAGTAAAGAGAGAACTACGATCAGGAATTCAGATTGTTTCAGGATCATAGTTTAGAATAAGGCCTCAAATGCACAGATTAGAGATGTCTGGCTAGGATAATGCTGATCTGCTCTAAAAAAAAAAACGAAGAATCATAATTAATTTCTTTATACTCCCATTCTCACTGCAGCCAGAACAGCAGCTCACATCAGCAGATAAATCAGAGCTCTAAATACAATCTGTAGAAACAGACAGGTAAACTCTACAGAACCTGGTAGGTTTTTGCAATAACCTGAAGCTTTTTGTGTGGGGTTTTGGTTTCGTTTGGGTTGGTGTTTATGCTTATAAATATCTGAAGGGTGGGTGTAAGGAGGATGGGGCCAGACTCTTTTCAGTGGTGCCCAGTGACAGGACAAGGGGCAATGGGCACAAACTGAGGCACAGGAAGTTCCGTCTGAACATGAGGAAGAACTTCTTCCCTCTGAGGGTGACGGAGCCCGTGAACAGGCTGCCCAGGGAGGTTGTGGAGTCTCCTTCTCTGGAGATATTCAAGACCCGCCTGGACAAGGTCCTCTGCAGCCTGCTGTAGGTGACCCTGCTTCGGCAGGAGGGTTGGACTAGATGACCCACAGAGGTCCCTTCCAACCCCTACTATTCTGTGATTCTGTGATTCTGTGTTGGTTTTTTTAGTATTAAAAAAGGTACAATAGTCACCATGTTCCATGAGGTACATACTAAAATTTGCTAATCTATACAAACCTATTGATGGCAGTCCTTCAGGTCTACTTGAAATTCTTATTATGTCTCTATCTCCCTTTAAGAGGAAAATCTCATTGTTGGTACAGGACACAGACACGATATCACCATACCCTTCCAAGCCACCAATCAGAGCCTATAAAGAGTCAACACAGAAAGAAATTATTGGCATGAGATTAACACACTGTTTGGACAAGACAGTGCTCTTAACAAAAGTATTTACTGGAATTTAATCAACATACATAGTTAGAGAATAAAGATTTTATCTTATCAAAAAAGAAAGAAAATAGAAAAATAAATAGGAAAGCATCCTTTAATCACGATGTAGCTCATTTTTTTTCTACTAGTTTTAACTCCATCAGTATATTCATTTTCTCTGTCCAAATGAGCAGCAACCAGTTACTTACACGCCATACAATTTGGTAGCAGAAAAGAGCCACAGTACAAATGTTTAAGACCATTTAGACAAAAAGATATTAGCTTGTATTCACTTTCATGCATGCCTTTTTTTAAAAAGACAAAATAGATAACAGCTCGCTCTATACCAAAAAAAAAGTTGAGTTTTTGCAGACACCAACAGTAGTAGAAAGGAAAGAATAAATAGTTCCAGGTTCATTTTATAGGCCTAAAACTTTTTTTTTATATTAATTACTAGATTTTAGATTTAGATATGCTCTGCTAAGTATCAGAATTGATTATCATCTTAACACCCAGACTGGAAGGTTTAAATATATTTAATTTTTATATATATCGAGTTTGTTTCTGAGTATATCATTGCAACAACAACTTGAAGAGGGAGAGAAGAAAGTCGTCTTTGTTAGGTTTAAATATGGATTTAAATCATAGAAATGTAATGGATAACCCAAAGAGAGTCTCATGGCACAGCATGAACAAAAACAAGTAAGAAACAAAATATGCACCCACAAGATTTATCTACCTGGTTCACAGTGTCCAGTAAGTAGATGCTATATTCATTCCAGGTCAGCACCCATCCTTCTCGGAAGAAGCACGAAACAAGACCAAGGTGTTTCTCTGGGGAGCTGTAACTTCCTCTGTCCGGTGGTTCCAAACGAGGATACAGTTCAAAAGTTTTTATTCCTCCAGCAAATACGTCTTTCAATATGAATGTGGCCTGAACAGTTCCATGAACATCAGATTTCCAGAGACGAAGCCCAGGTCTGGCAGCAAATAGTGTCAGGTCACTCTGTTTACATAGGCCAGGTATAAAACATGCTCCAAATTTGCCAGTGCTAAAATGCAAAACAATTTTTAAAACTAATGGCACAGATTTACAACTGCAAGTTATCAAAAATAAAAGTTTTGTTCTTTAATTAAAGTATTCAGTCAAACGTCTGAAGCAGAAATTTGGTTACAGTAAGAGAAGAACAGTGCTTCCAAATAACAACAGTCTTCCCTCAGCTTTAGAGCTCAGACACTACATCAGTTAGGCGAGCTAAATGACTCCTCCTAATAAGCGCCATAGCCTTAACGGTACTCTTCGTCCATCTTGGAAAAACCCTACTATGCAGTCCATCCTTCTCCCAGAATTAATAAAAAAAAAACAGCAAAACACTATGAACTAATGCTCAGAAACTGACAACCTCTACTTGCAAGAACAAGGAACAGACTTGAACTGTTAAAATCCTCATCTCTCATACATAAAACCACCACTGCTATCACACAAGAAATCCCTTTGTACATAAGATGGTCCTTGGTATTCCTTTTACTATTCAGATCACCAAAACATAAATTCTAAACCTTCTTTCAAAGTCAATTTCCTCTACTTCCAGATATAGTCTGTCATCCTGTTCTAAGACTGGGTGCCCTCCTTCATATCCAAAAGATTATACAATAGAAGACGCCAGAAGGACATACAAGAAGTTCCTAACCTTCAAGTCAACTTTAAGTGCTTGATATACATTTTCCCTTTTAATTCACTTCAGTGTATAAGAAAAATTGGAATGCTGACTTGCTTTTTGCATCAGATATTACATCACCGATGAGATGGACCTGATCGCTTACTCACACCAATTCACAGTAAACCAACAGAAACTGCAGAGGAAGTTTGGCAGTGATTTCAGTTTAAACAATGAGAAAATAGCTTAAATATTTTTGCATAATAGTGCCCTGAAAATATGATTGCAACATAATTGCAACCATGTACTTTCTAAGTAGGCAGAATTGTCATTTCACATTTGAGCACACAAAGCTACTGTAACTAACTTTTTATGAGCAGACTGCTGTGTTGTATTAATTTCACTGCTTAGATCGCTCTTTCTGTAATCCACTCTGAAAAGCCAGAATTAATAGATGTGCCTGCATCAAGATTTTATGAGGGTTACTTTTTTCTGGGCTGTGTTCCAACTTGCTTGACAGATTTCTCCTCTGTGTAAAAAAGTAGAGTCCGTTGTACAGTAGATACAAGCAGCACTTTCTGGTTGTAATCCAACTGGACAATTGAAGATGGCTCTTCCAATACAAGGCTGGAGTTGCAAATACCCTTTTAAAGACACATGCAATTAACAAGAATCAACCTTTCTAAAAATATAAGGTAATAACTAACACTTCAAAGAAATTAATAAGCCCAAGAAAGAGATAACAAATAAACAAACAAAAGCTTTTGAGCTACTGTTGTACGCAGTTCAGTTAATGAATGTTGAGTCCCTTTATGCAGACAAAAGGGCAGTCAGATTGTGTGTACCAGAATGGCACACTACGAAACTCAATTTCTCTTGGATTATCAGGTAACGCAGTTCACTTGAAATCAACAGAAACTCTAGGACACATTTTGTTTCTTCTTCTCCACCGCCAGTTCATACAATGCTGAGACAACTGTTACACTCAGAGAAGTTAACGCTTTCTGTGAAACCAAATGAGGGAGAGTCATAGGTAAATCAGGATGGATGTTGTTTACATTTCTCTCCCATATAGAAATTCAAGTTAGTACTGATTTTGTTGACATCTCATGTCTGTATTAAATAAAAAGCCATTAGAAAAATTCCATTTACTGGTAACAAGCTAGAGTCACCTTGTAGAGCCCAAGCATTATTTTCATTCTATACTCTAGACCAAGATGCTGAACAATTCTGGCAAAAAGTAATTACTCAATGCAGTGAATCAGCAACGTCGCACCATTCAAGTGTACCCTTTCTAAAGAAACAAGGAGAAAGTACAGGCTGAAATTTGAAGGGAGATGTGGATTGTTATGCCAGACAGAAACATGATAAAATGGGAAGGATCACCACTTTTTTTTCATTATTATTTTTTTTTAAATGTAAGGCAGCTGTGAAGGATACCCAACGGCTGTCTTGCTCGGTGTGTTCACTTGCCAAGTGTATATGTACCAATAGAACAGTCCAATTAAATAAATGATACTATGCAATGGACTAACTGCTAAATACTTCAACACACAAGCATGCTTTTGGAAAACTGTAAATGGGAATTAAGGTCTCTATAACAAATGCTCACGTGGTCTAGGTCTAGGGCAGAGTAGACAATCTTCCCTTTATCATCTCCAGAGAATAATTTCATTCCATTGGGACTCCAAGCTAAAGCTGTAATGCTACTTTTGTGGATACCAGCAACATCAAATCTCCGAAGCTGTTAAATAATACCAAAGCAATACAAGAATGAGCAGAAGAAAAAACGCAGACAAAGCCTATTATCCAGTGACTAGGACTGATAAATAAGAGGTCAAGTACTAAATGCAGGCCATTCTAATTTGTGTTAAAAAAACCTCAATCAATCAACCCTCCTACCAAATTGCTCAGCCAGTTATTACAAATGAGGAATGTTTCAACAGCATTTTATGTTAAACGTATCTGCTGTAATGAAAAACATACTTTAAGATTACTGCTTCTATAAATGTAACATTATGAAGCCTAAAACATATCCACAGATATTTTGTCAGGCAAAATGATCTGATTTTTACTATTATAAAGAAACACTATAATGCTCTACTAGGATTCACCACACTAATACTCACAGAAGTTCAGCAAAAGGCAAAGATTTACCTGTTTGTTTCTTCCAGGTAATGAAGACACAAGCTGAAAAACTGCAACCCGACCTGAGACTGTACCAACAGCAACTAGATCATCGAAACAGCTCAACAGCTTTACAGAAGTGATAGATTCACACTTCCCCTGTTGAAATAAAGCATATACAAAACTCACAAAGTTAATGAGACAAAAAGCAGCTCAATTCTGAGCAACTCAGTGCCGATAAAGGTTTCATTGGAAGAGACAAAAGTTTAAGTTAGTATTTACCTCAAAATTGTATTTTTTCATCTGGTTTAAATGTCTGCAGTAGAGATAAAGCATTCCAATGCTGCTACCCACAGCAATGTAGTCTCCATTGGTATCAAGTGCTGTGAGGTATACCACAATAGAGCGAAAGCCTTTTTGGACCTTTGTAGGAATGGCATTGAGAAGATAATATAAGGGACAAAACTCCTTAAATATAACCGGTGGAGTCACAGATGCCATAGCAAGCACTGGCATCAGCAATTCTAAGGCTGAAATAAACACATCGACTTGACCGTGTAAGAAAATCTGAAAGACAAAAGCAAAAGACATGTCACTAATTTTGTTGGAAAGAGTAAATGGTTAGCAGAAAGCCACCATTCAGCAAGTAGGGATGCAGAAATGCTCAGGTTTTGTTTCCTATGATGAAAAACAAGTTAAACTCTAGTGAATGTAAGTTCTTTTTAGAAGAACCTTCTTCTTAAGAATAAGCTTATTTCTTAGGTTCAGTCCACATCTAAGGAAATAAGGTAACCACCAAATATGGGATAACCACTTTTTCTTGTAGCTGTGAGCTCACAGTTGAGTTCAAATGCAGTATTTCTTCTCATGGGGCTAGTGAAAGAACAGTAAGGGCTCTGACACTGAACAATCCATGCGATATATTTCTTCATCTATCTGCAACCTCTACCCTCAGTCGTCCCAGTGCTGAGAGCACATGATATCCACTGTGTTAGCACAACACGAACGAAGTGCCTGAACAGTGTTTATGCTCAACTCCTTAATGTCCCGCACCCCAAGAAAAACATGGTTCAGAAACAATTCATTTAGAGCTACATCTGCTATCTAATCAAATAATAATAACCAACAAAAAAAAAAAAAAGGTGTGGGAAGGAAGGGGCAATGCAAAAATGAAAGAAATCAGAGTTTGACAGACACAGGACAATATCCACGCAGCAACTGAATTTAGAAAGATAAGGAGGAAAAAGAAAAAAGTACCATATGCCCACATTTCTCTTTATGGTTAAGGAAATAATTTTATGCTGATAAGTCATACTGTGCATACACTTAGGGGACAACTCTGGTATCTTTCTAAGAATAATGTAAACAAAGGTTCTATTTGTCTTCTTCATGAAAAAAATGTAGTCAGAGCTCATCACAGTAGTAATGTACTGGGATCTTCAGAAAAAGCTAATATGACCATGACTTATGTAAAAATATTTATAAAATTTAATTAAACCCAGTACTTTTTCTCATCATGGGGTGACAGCCTTGACAAGAGCATTTTGCAGTAGTAGCTATTCTCCTCACGGATGACTTCAGAACACAGAAAAGGAAAGAAACCTTCACTTCTTGAATTTTATTTTGCCACGAGCCAGTCTGATTAACAGAATGGTTTAGAATCTGAAAAACATCCCTGCCATTTTCCAAGACAAGGATTTTTGATTTCTAGGTCCGTAACACTGAAGATTTTCTTAAGCTTCAGCAGTTATAACTTCCTTAGAGAAATGAAAACCAGAAATACGCCAACTGAAGTCAGAAACATTTCTAAATGCTCAGAATCATTCTGTAAAGTATTACTACCACAATTTGTGTGATATGTCCTATTGTGCCTAGTTTTTATTTCTCTAAGGATGGAAAATGGTATTTGTTTCGCAGCTTCACACACAGCTGACAGTGTGTATTAACTAAATTAGAAAAAAATACAGCTGCTCTAGTTTAATATCTCCATTGCTGCGAAAAGCTTTGATGTCTCAATTTTCAAACTATTTCAGCTATTGTGCAGGAGGATTTAGCACATTGGCTTTGGGCCCTGCAACACTTGCTGTCAACACACAATTCCACTAAACCCAAAGGGATTACTTGGATGATATTAGCCATTCAAGCCCACGTCAAACAAAACCAGAGGAACAAAGATTGGTTACTGGACCCACATTTTATCTGTGTTAAAAAAGCTGCCAGTAACTAAGCTAGCAGAAATTATTAGATGTTCTTAATTGTGATAAATTTTACTCCTTGCTAGAGCTTCGAAATTAATTCCAATCTCCACTACCTGTCATGACACCTATTTCATAAAATATCACAAGGATTAGCTGATTAATATGTTCAAACTGTTTCTGAATGAAGAATTGGTTTCAAAGTTGCTTACAAAGTTAACAGATAACCTCAGTGCATCACCACTCTTTTACAATATTTTCAGACACCATCTATTTCCTATGCTGTATTTTGTCTCCCGCCCTTTCCTTCACCATTTACGATCTTCTATCTACAACCAAGTATAGAGAACCCACTACTAAAGACCCTTGTTTACAGTTCTAAACGTGCTGCTTTGCCAGTTTAGTAATTTTACTAGCTGCTAGTCTTTTTTTTTTCTTTCTTTTTTCTAATAAAACAAAATCCATTCTTTGTCCCAAGTCTCACATGTACAAATCTTCCTCTGTCTAATCTCAACTTCTACCACTCCATAGCTACTGCCTCATGAATTTCAGATACTTTGTTTTTTGAGTCCCTTTTGTCAGTCCTACAATTCACTTCTGTCATCACCCCAAGCTGCTCTCGTAGCTAGAACCAGCTCACACTCCCCAGTTGCCAAAGAACCTCGCAAGTCCTCAGAAATCATTCTCTCTCTTAGTTTCCATCACTTACCCTTCCAGCTCAACTAAACTGGCAAGACCACAATAATTCATTCCAAACTCTGGAATTATGGAAATTTCTATCATCCAGAAAAAGACTATTACTCCTTCGTCTACAACCACTCTATCTGCAACCCGATGCATTTTTTGTAAGTTTACACTTAATTTTAAAAGAGAAAAAAAGGGAGAGTTTGATAGGGGTGGCCCCCCCAGAAAAAAACACTGGGAGGAATTATTTCTTGTCATATACTAAGTAAAATTAAAAAAACCCACGCTGTCTGGTTCTCATTCTTCCTAAAATTTATATACAATCTATTTCAATCTTCTCTGATAGCAAAGTTGTAAAAAAAAGTAAAATCAGGTTTTGTTCTTTATAGCCCAGTCACCCTGTACAATCAAAAAAACGTATTACTAAACTATAACATCTTGCCATCATACACAAAGTAGCTTCATCCTGAGTGGTTTACACACTAACAAAACACTTGCACTCTTGCGTGAAAACATGTAAATGAAAGCTCAAATAATCACTTCACTAAAAATATTGCTAATTAAGTAATTTTATCTACACAAAACGAATATATAAAGGACTAGAGAATTGCAATATGGCCTACATATTCAAAAACTCTGCACAAACACCACAATTCTGTGCTTTTGAGTCTAAAGTCTTCAACACCCCCCCCAATCCGTGGTGTATCACATGTAGTCTCTTTATTAACAGAGTTAGGATTATATGTTATCTGTTTCTCCTACTTCATTAATCAAAGGCAAACAGCGGATATAATTTGTTTTCTCAGATTTTGGAATTGGACGCGCATGTTCACCGTGTCAGCCACAGTTACTCTGAGGTACGTAACAGCTGTGCAGCGCAAATCAGCTCGTGCTAAGCAGCCACCCTGCAGCAATGATAAAGCAGAGAAAAACACCTTGAAGTTCCACATCAAAAACAATCACCAGACAAAAAGAGTCCGTACTTCCCAACTCACAAAGCTCACAACAAGCTTTTAAACACTGCATTCAAGGCCATGTTTTGAAAAGCAAACTTTTTTTAGTTTTCTCTGGCCTCAGAGCCAGGAATGGGGCTCAATGCTGCCTAACGGAGGCAACTAAAGCGAGAGACAACCCCGCAGTGAAACGGACACACCGTGGTTCAAGGTTCAGTGCCGGGGTATGCCACAGATGGACTGCTAAAGCTGTCACCGCATTTCTCTCAGCCCAACTGTCCTGTCTGTACAAGAGGGGCAACAGCTCTGTTTTTTTTACTCTTTGGTATAAAAAGTTAAATTTAAGCTCTTCAGAGTATGGACAAACTCACAGGCATGACCACAGCTAAACACAACAGCCTCTGATCTCAGCTAGACCCTGCCAACTAAAAAGAAAAGCAGTTTTATCTTGTAATGCTTCACACATCTTCAGCCTAAGGAGCAGGCTACCCGGCTGCCACATCTCCAGAGCTTTCCACAGCAAAAAAGAGGGGAGAACACAGGAGCACACCCCACTGCCAGGAGGGGCTCAGAGCCCCAGCCAGCCCACAGGCCGTGGTTACCCGACCCACACCCGCGCCGCTCCACGTGTGGTGTTTCTGGCTCAGCAGAGTTTCTTCTGAAAGAAAAAACCCAAACAAGCCAAGCCAAGCCAGGTGACAGCAAAGGAAAGGATGGAAAAAGGAGTAGCAGGGTCACTGGGCACGCAGGTGTGCCAAGGGGGGTGGCGGGAAGCAGGCTTCGCTCTGACGGTCCTGGGACACCCCGTTTCTCTGGAAAACCTTCCTTCCTCAGAGGCATGCCCATCTCCCGGCAGACGCTTCAAACCTTTCTTTCCCAACACCCTGCTTTCTAGCGCTTGAGGGGTCGCCAGTCCTGACAGGGGAGGCAGAACGCAGCCGGCGGCTCCCGGCCGGACG